TGTCCTTTCCATGATGGAAGTGGTCCAATGTAATCAACTTGCCACCACGTTGCTGGCTGATCACCCTGAGGAATGGTTTCATATTGCGGACTCAGTGTCAGTCTCTGTTGCTGGAATATTGGGTAATCAGCAATGGAGGTAGCCAAATCATCCTTGGTAAGTGGTAGTCCATGTTCCTGAGCCCATGCATAACCTCCATCCTTGCCACCACTGCCACTTTGTTCATGACCCCATTGAGCAATAACAGGAGTAGCTGAAGGAAAAGGATGGCTGGTTTCCACTGAACGTGTCATCCTAATTCACCTGATTGTTAAAGTCCTCCTCTGTGGAGGTCACCTTTTGGTGGGCATTCACATGAGACACAAATATCTTTACTCCTTTGGCCCAGTTAGAGAGATCTATCCACATACCTCTTCCCCATACATCTTTGTCACCAATTTTCCAATCATGCTTCTTCCAAGTCCCAGACCACCTGGCCAAGCCATTAGCCACAGCCTCTGCCTCAGGCAATGACCCAGCAGGAACAGTTGGGTTAATCCCATCAAAGTGAGGTGGAAGGGATAATGGTTTTTACAGTAATCCTTTCAGATTGGAGGGATTCAACAGAATTTACAGGCTCCATATCCTGATCTTCCTGATCTGACTATCTGCCCATATGTTTCCATTCCAGGTTTCAGGATCCCATTTTTTCCCAATCAATGCCCTCACTTTAACTTCAGACACCACTCTGGGTTGGAAATTTAATTGGAGCATATTAGGCACAAATATGACTTTATGATTGTCCTTATTTAGAGATTACATGTGCTTAAGAAGATGTGTACAACTGCCAAGTTGACAAGGGGTGGATTGTGATAGCTGGAGCTGTGTGTCAATTTGGCTGGACCACAATTCTGTGTGGTTTAAGCAATTGTGATGTGGGTTATTCCTATGATGGGATCAGATGTATATGTTTTGAGCAGCCAATCCATTGAAAGGGAGTTTCCTATGGGTGTGGCCTGCTTCCAGTATATTCATGGACATCCTGGGAAAAGGGACATTCTTCTGGAGTGGGATTCTGTTGTGCTGCCTACAAAAGTCCATAAGCGAACAATCCACCATTCGGCCTGGAGATCTTGGAATCATCATTCCTTGGAGTCAACAGCCAGTGTACTGCCTGCCAGCCTTGAGCTCTTCAGCCCCTACAGCTGTGTGAGTCAGGAAAAGCCTCCATCTTGATGTTTGATCCAAGAACTTGGGACTTGCCAGATTCTTTAAGTGTGTGAGCCATTTTCCTAAGATAAATTTCTCTTTCTCTCTCTCTATATATAAGCTTTATTAGTTTTGCTTCTCTAGAGAACCCAGTCTAACACACTAGAGTTGAACCACCCTTGCATACCTGGTATGAATCCCAGTTGATCATGGTATATTGTTTTTTGATATGTTGTTAGATTCTATTGGCGAGGATTTTTTTTTTTTTTTTTTTTGAGAATTTTTGTATCTATGTTCACGAGGCATATTTGTCTATAATTTTCTTTTTCAGTGGTGTCTTTGCCTAGCTTTGGTATCAGGGTTAGGCTCGCTTCATAAAATTAATTTGGGAGTATTATTTACTTTCTTATATTCTGGAATATTTTGAGAATTGGTGTCAACTCTTCTTTGAATGTTTGGTAGAATTCGCTAATGAAACTGTTTGGCCAGGACGTTTTGTTGTTGTTGGGAGATTTTTTTATTACCTGTTCAATTTCTTCTTTTGTTATGGGATTGTTCAAATTTTTTATCTCAGTCTGTGTTAGTTTAGGTAAGTAGTGTGTTTCCAGAAATCTGTCCATTTCTTCCAGATTTTCAAATTCATTTTTGTTTTAATTTTTATTGTGATTTGGGTGAACGTTTACAGAGCAAATTTGTTTTCCATACAGCAGTTCATACACATTTTGTTTCATGACATGGGAGGACAGTTCTTCATAATATTCTGTTATTGTCCTTTTTGTTTCCATTATTTCTCTTGTGATGTCGCCCATTTTATTTCTTATTCATATTATTAGCATTTTCTCATTGTTTTTCATTTGTTAAATTTGCCGTGGTTTGTCAATTTTGTTAATCTTTTCAAAGAACAACTTCTCATCTTGTTTATTCTTTCTATTATTTTTCTGTTTTGTGTTCCATTTATTTCTGCATTAATCTTTATTATTTCTTTTATTCTGGTGACTGTAGACTTTTTTTTCACTGCTCTTTTTCTAACTGTTAGAGATATTGGGTTAAGGTGTTGATTTTGGTACTTTCTTCTTTTCCGATGTGTGCATTTATTACTATAAATTGCCTTTGTGCACTGCTTTTGCTGTGTCCCAAAGATTTTGGTACGTTGTTTTTTATTCTTGTTTGATTCAAGGAATTTTTGCATTTCATTTTTCATTTCTTCTATTACCCACTAGTTTTTAAGCAGGGTGTTATTCAGTTTTGAGGCACCCTGGTGGCACTGTGGTTAAAGACTTCAGCTACTAAACAAAAGTTCAGCAATTCAAGCCCACCAGCTGCTAGAAAGATGTGCAGTCTTCTCCCATAAATATTACAGCCTTGTAAATTGTAAACCCTATGGAGGCAGATCTACTCTGTCTAAAAGGGTTGCTATGAGTCAGAATTAACTCAATGGTGATGGGTTTGGTTCTTTGGTTGGTACTCAGTTTCCACATATTGTGAGACCTGAGTCCTAATGCCCTCCAGGTAATTCTTTAACCAGGAGTCTTTAGCCAGAGTCCTAAGGAATGTGAGGCCTGTGTCCTAATGCCCCCCCAGGTAATTCTTTAACCAGGAGTCTTTAGCGCCAGAGACTCCCGCACGTCCCCCCACGCCTCAGAGCTATACCTGGCTCCTGCAAGTCTCCCACGCATCAGGGCTTTACATCCTCCCTAGGTAATTATTCTCTAACCAGTCTTTAGTCTGGAGATTCCAGCACGTCCCCCCACGTCTCAGAGCTCTACCCTAAACCCCCTAGCAACAACCAATCATTTGTACCCCTTTGCCCTGGTGCTACTCCACCCTATATTTTTTCCTATAAAAATATAATAGTAAGAGAGCACGGGGTCTTTTGCCCAAGCCGCTGCGTCAGTGTAAGCAGAGACCCTAGCTCAAGCTAGCCAATAAACTCTCCTTCTTGCACTTGCATTGTCGTGTGTTGGCAAATTCCTCGCGCCGACCAACTCCTTCCTAACCTGGGCTCAACATTTGGTGCATTGGCCAGGAAGGAGAAAAGTTCAGAGCCGGAACTTGCCCCCTACAGAAGGGGAGTGGGTGTCAGGAACAGGAGCCGGCAAGATCAGATTACATCCTTAGCGTGAGGATACTGGTCCAGGGGTCAGGAACAGAAGCTGGCAGGATTGGGATCAATCCCTTGTGTAGGGAACCAATCCAAGGGTACAGGAACTGGCAGATGCGCCGGAGGAGTTGGGGAAGGAGCCCTTTCCCAACTAACAGGCAGGCTGTGGGCGCTTTTTAGTAAGAGTAGCCCCCTTCAGGGGAGGAGCAGAGGCACCTCCAATCTGTGGTACTGGAATGAGATCTCTTCTGGGTGTCGAGTATTTGTGTTGTCTGCTTTGGTGTCTCTTCTTGTGTGGCCACTTGTCTTTTATTTGTTCTGTGTTTTCTTAAAGGAGGTTGAAATGGGACAGGGACAGACTACCCCTCTGTCCCTGATGGTTGAACACTTTTCAGAGTTTAAAACCAGAGGATCTAATTTGTCTGTGATAGTTAAGAAAAATAAACTAATGACTTTTTGCTCTTCAGGATGGCCCTCTATTAAGGTAGGATGGCCTCCGGAAGGCTCGTTGGATGGAAAGGTGATTGCAGCCGCATTTGACCGAGTCCAAGTGCCAGGCCCCTGTGGGCACCCGGACCAATTTCCTTACATTTTAGTGTAGCAGGTTATGGTGACTAACCCTCCCCCATGGCTAAAACCTTTTCTTCCGAATCTCTCTGCTAAGGTGTTAACATCCTCACTCGGGACTGGCAAAAAGGAGAGACCAAGACGACCTGAGTCCCGAGCAGCCATTCCACCGGTTTTGTCGGATTCCCAAACTCACCCTGATCTGATAGATCTAGAAAGTAGCATGTCTCCACCTCCCTATGCCCCTACACCACCTTCCCACCCTCTCCAGGCTCCACAAGTATCAGGAGGAAGTGGAGCGAGTGCTCCAAGTGCGCCGCCCGCCATCACAGGCCCAGCCTCCAGTCTCCGCCCATGCCAGAGGGGCTTCCAGGAGGCTGAAGCCCCCTCGTCCACTGTCCAGACGCTGCCCCTCAGAGTGATAGGCCTGCCTCGTGAGGACGGAAGCAGAACCTGGCAGTACTGGCCGTTTTCAACGTCGGACCTGTATATCTGGAAGGCACAGAAAGCCCCCTTTTCTGAAAACCCCCAAAGCTTAATTAATTTGTTAGATTTTATATTGTTTACTCATAACCCCACTTGGGATGATTGTCAGCAGCTGTTGCAGGTTTTGTTCACCACTGAAGAAAAAGAGAGAATCTTGACCGAGGCCAGGAAAAACGTGCCCGGAGACAATGGACAGCCGACACCACTTCAGAATTTAACTGACGCTGGGTTCCTGTTATCTCGTCCCAGTTGGGATTTTGAGCCATTACAAGGTAGGGAGCATCTCCAAAAGTACCACCAGATTCTAATGGCCGGTCTCCGTGCGGCGGCAAGGAAGCCGACTAATTTGGCCAAGGTAAACTCAGTCAGGCAGGAGCCAACAGAGAGCCCTGCAGCATATCTAGAGAAGTTAATGGAAGCATTTAGACTGTATACCCCTACGGACCTGCAAGCCGATGAGAGTAGAGCAGCAGTGGTCCTATCTTTTGTAAACCAAGCGGTCCCTGATATCAGAAGAAAGCTTCAGAAGATAGATAGATTGGGGGAGCAGACCCTACAGGACTTAATGAAAGTAGCTGAGAAAGTGTATAATACTAGAGAGACTCCAGAAGAAAGAGAGGAGAGGATGTGTAGGGAGGAACGAGAATTCCAGGCCAAAGAAAATAAGCGGAACCAGAAAGAGTTAGCAAAGATTCTCTTTGCTGAGGCTCGAGGAGAAGTAGGGAAAGGAAGAGAGAAAAGATTAGAGCAGCATGACAGGCCCCACTGAGGTCCACCCCTCACCACAAATCAGTGTGCGTTTTGCAAAGAATCGGACACTGGAAGAACGAATGCCCCAAGAAAAGAAACCAGAGATTTGAGAAACCTGCCCCTGTCCGAGTCCTAGTGGCAGGAGAAGACAGCGACTAGGGGAGCGGGAGGAGTCGGAGATGGTGTCATCCCTCCCGGGGCTGTGCTCACTCAGCCACCTCTGCTCCCGCCGCCATCGTCGCACGAAGCAGCCGCGCACAGAGAGCCGCGGGCCGGGCCAGCAGGGCCTCCACGCTCCAGTGCACCACGCTCACCGCTGGTAGCGCCACCAGTGCCCTCCGCACTAGCTTAGTGGCCGCACGGCCGAGGCCAGAGCCGAGAAGAAGCGAGAGCAGCGGCTGCCCGCACGGGGCAGCCCTGGGACTCGGCACCCAGGCGCCTGCCGCCCGAGTAGCAAAATGAGCATCGAAATCCCGGTGTGGCTGATGGAGTTGCTGCAGAGCTTCACTGTGGAGGTGCTGAGGCATCAGCCCGCGGACCTGCTGGAGTTCACGCTGCAGCACTTCACGCACCTGCAGGAGGGGTACAAGCACAAAAGGACTGCGCGCTTTGGCCATGAGGGCAGGACCTGGGGGGACGCGGGCACTGCTGCCGGGGGTGGCACCCCCATCAAGGGAATCAACTTCACCGAGGAACCCATGCACGCCGACTCCGAGAACGGAGAGGAAGAAGAGGCCGCGGACGCAGGAGCTTTCAACGCTCCAGTAATAAACCGATCCATAAGACGTGCCTCAGTACGTGCAGAAACTTATAATCCTGATGAAGAAGAAAATGACGCAGAATCCAGGATTATATGATCAGAGAAACAGATTGCAAGAGGCTTTCAAAGACATCCTGCTGTTTAAGAACCTGGATCCGGAACAGATGTCTCAAGTAATAGACAAATTTTGAAAAGTAACAACTCCTCACGCACCTCCACCAAGTGACTCATTTAAGAGAGCGGAAAATGCTGGAGTTACTGAATAAAGGACAAGTCCGCACACACCATCAGAGACAAACGGCTCAGGGTGTGGTAGA